TTTCAATAAGCAAACACATTTTTGAGTTCTTTGAAACTTGCGCTATAGGGCGAGTACTCACACTCCAAAGAACAAGCCTTCTCCAGCGAAATATAAGGAGATGAGGAAAAAAAAAAACGCGCGAGCGTGTAACATTTTTATTTTGGATTCCACAGCGTGACAAAAAGGTGTTTTGGAGAACCATAGCCACGTAGGGTAGTAATCAGAGAATTTTTTTTTTTGAGACACGCATGTGGTCTGTTATATAGGGGCTGACTTATAGAGCCCAATACACGTGTTTCAACCGTGACCGGTCTCATCAATCGGTCGATACCCTCGTCTTTTGCCAATCCTCTCAAGGTGCTTCAATCCCCCATACTAATACCGTCCAACGAGTGAAATTATCACTGTATGGGCAGTGTTGTACACTGGTTTGCAATTGTCTGGTTAGACCACGTACGTGGCTCAAAAAAAATCACCTGACATAATGAAATTTGAGCGTGGTCTTAAGAAAACACTCGAAACGAAAAGCAACCAAAGATTTAACCTTTCACATGATTACCAACATTTCCATGAAAATTCTTGTCCAGCGAATGAGGTCGCATATTCATTTGTTCCCTTATGACTGGAAAATACCCACATTTGATTATCTCTACGGATGTCTCTGCAACCCACTCCATTTGTAACATCGAATAGAATAGAGGTGATTTACTGCATATCTGACTTTTACAATGACTCGCTATGGCGTACCGATCTATCAGGTGAGTTGTTCGCATCTTCCTAGACAAATCTTTTAAAAAATTTGCCGAACCCAAAAAATGGGGTTTAGTTTGCTCAGGGCGGAGATTGAACCAATGACCACATATACATCAAAGCGCACATCTACGCCCTTCGTCCTTAATGGTTCAGTAATATTTGAATAACTGAGTGGCAAATGTGTTTGCACACAAACAACACTTTTAAGCGTTTGGCTGAATCTATTCGACTGGGTGGATCGGAATTGGAGCGTCGAGCTGAAGAAACAACCCGAAAACTAATCGCTGAACAGATCGAACGAACGCGGTGCGGTTTTTCAAATGAATATTTTGAAGGCTCATAAATTAGAAGCTTTTATTATCATTGTATATTAGCAGACTATATTTTTCATTCACACGGAGGTCATTAGGGAAGAAGTACGGGTAACCTTTACGAATTATTGTGAAAAACGGTTAGCTAAGGAAATCTGCAAAACACTTCCTGCATTTCAAATAACCGTTTTCAAAATCTTCGTGAGATTAATTCTCAGTCTGCTAGCGTTTCGAAACTTTGCCTGAAATGTAATGTGTTCGAGCTTCAGCAAGACAAAAAAAATGAAAGTTTATACTTTTTGGATAGACTTTACGGTGAGAAATGTATGGTTATGATAGTGCAGATCGCCAAAGACAAATAAGTCTTCGTTCCCTCTATACGGAAGCATTTCCAATTCATCTCATAATTGTTATCTGAGCCAACATGTCATGTGGTCTGTTAATGGACTCTTGTAGAGCCCAATACACTTGTTTCGACCTTAAAAATACACTTGAAAAAAGATATAATATTACAAAAATACCAGCAAAGAGCAATCGAGTGTACAACGCTGTCTATTTGGTGATAATTTCACTTGACAGACAGTGTAAATCGTTCGTCGTCTTTTACCTCTTTATAGGGAGAATAGGGGCTCCCGAGAGGATTCGCTAAAAACCAAAGACGAAGGGTTCTGCTCGACTGGCGAGACTGTAAGATCGAAACACGTGTATCGGGTTGTTTAAGAGCCCATTAACAGACCACATGACATGTTGCCTCAAATAATAATCATGAGATAAACCCAATAGTGTGAGTGGTGTGCAAAAACATTTGCGCCAGCTGGGTTCGAACCCAGACAGATTTATGAGATACATTGAAATTTGAGCGTGGTTTTAATGGAACACTCGAAATAAAGGCATAATGTGCACTTTAACTTCACAAAATCTCCTTCTTTATCACACTTGGAAGTTAGATTACTATGGTATTTGTAGTCTCTCACATTCGAATATGGTAGTGAGACGCCGATGCAACCGAGCCGAGAACGCTATGCGTCGTGCTCGAGAACGAATGGTGGTCGTTGAGACGCAAGCCGGAAGACGATGTGCTCAGCTTCAGTACCAGCTGGTTGGTTTCTAAATAATGTCGTATGCGAAGAGACTATACAATTCAGAAAAAGCGACCTCGTAGATCAGAATTCCATTGGGAAGCTTTTTGTACTTCAGGATACGGCTCTAATAGAGTTAGCCAGCTGCCAGGGCAAGCTTGTTCGATCCGTGTCAATAGAAACATATCAGAAGTTGGCGACTCGTCTCAAGAAAGAGAGTATAGCTGAAGTATTAGATGGTGAAACGATAGAGGAGACTTGGGGCGACAGCCATGTCTCTATCACTTCACACACGGACGAGAAAATACAGGAACTGGAGGCAAAGAATGTCTATCTCAAGGTGTGCGCAATTATTGGATTTTCGTAATTAGTACCTATATGTAGCAGAATTTTCAGAAAATCGTCGAGGTAATCAGCGAACAGAACGACTTCTGGTCTAAAGAAACCGAGATACTCCAAAACGAGAACGAAGAATTGAAGAAGTTTGTTGATGAAATGGAAAACGATAGTGACGCTAAGAGTATTCTTGGTAAGTGAGGGGCTCTCAGATATTGAAAAGTGGGAAATTTTTCGTAGTTGGTGGATGCGAGGAAATCAACTGAATGCAAAAGTGTTGATATCTGCGCAGTAAATCTGAAGATGGGTCAAAAAAAGACAGACGCTCGCTGTTTGCACGAGGATTTTCTTTCCATAATTCATCACATTCGTTAGACTTTTCACTTCGCTATTTTTTCTACAAGAAAGACTAGATATGGAAGCTCCGTTGTCTTTATACACATGGATTTTTGATTTATTGGACATTGTGTCAAACAACAGAGACATCATAAGAGTTTCAGTAGCGATTGAACAGCGTCTTCTGGAGACAATCCGAGAACAGCAAGAGGACCAGCGGGACCATGAGCGAGCCTACAGAAAGGCTAGAGAGGCTGAGGAAAGGCTGGCACGCGGTTGTGCCGAGTGGACTGCCCAACGAGCCCGGCTCGTTTTTGCTGTTAAGACGTTGCAGTCTACCCTATCGGTGAGTGAACTGCTGAACTCAGTGCTTTGAAGTAACAACTTTTATTTTGGACAGACAAGTTTGATGGAGGATAGAATTTTTACTTCTCTTTGTTGAACACAGTTCATTTCAAATCACCTTCTCAACTTTGGTGTTCTAAACATCGAGTGTACAGGGTCTACACCATCAGTGATTTCATCCCTTCGTCATGGAACTCGCTAAAGTAATGTCACTTACTCTGACCGATCAATGTATCACATATTTGCTTTCAGACTAGTCGCGGTCGACAAATTAGCGTCTATTAGAAATTTCACTGTCGAAAAACACTCCTATATAGCTCTTGTACCAATGATTGTTCGAAAATCGAATGGCATTCTAAGCTAGTTGAGCTTTGACGCTAGAATTCTGCTAAAAATATTCCTAATGTTTCTGCACATCGTATTCAACTCAGCAGAACCACACTGGATCTATTCAAATGTAGATCTCATCAATACGGGATAATCAGGCACTCCATTTCTTATATTACGCATGTCACAGCATGCTCGTGGCTTAACTGAATATCTAAGACGCACACGCACCCATTAGAGCACGCCTAAGAATGGTGGTTATGAGTTTTGATTATTTCTCACTGAATTCCTTGAACAGTTTTTTAACCTTCTTCGCATTTTGTGAGCCGAATGACAGAACGATGACCTCAAGAAAATAGCTCAGCGCGTCGAAGTTGGCTTCTGATTGCTAAAAAATTCTGAATTCTGCGGCAGCGTGATTGGATCGGACGTTATGGGTTATTCCTTAGTCTTCATCAATGAATACGTCGTACTCTTTACGCTAAAACTAATTAATCATGATTTCTTAGAAAAATAGATGAACATGTGAATTTTGAACTAACTGAAAATATGAAAGACACGTTACAGAGAGAAGAAGAAGAATACGGGCAGGAACATTTTAGAGTACACTAATAATTGTGATATGTTGCCGTATACAATGAAAGTTCGCTTTTCCGATAATATGCAATGCTTTTGACAAAATTTTTAAAAAATCAAAACACCGACTCTCACTAAATTTCGGCATGAAAGCTTTTCAAATTCGTCACGTCACATTTCGTTCGTGGCTGCATTTCGGCTTACGCGCGTTTTTATCGAGGTTCTCATAAAACAATCAATCAAAATGCTAAGATATATTGTTCTTACCAGAAGCAAGGCATCGACTGTAGCTACGCTGGTAGCCGTGATTTATCTTGCCGAAAAAGTGCTAGTCTTTGTCACTCTATCTATATGATAGGGACGAGTAGCCGAGAAAAGACTCTTGGGAGATACCGCCGAAACGCGCGCAAGCCCAATTTAGCCACGAACGAAATGCAGCGCGACAATCCTCAAGAAAACGGCTGAAAATATTTCCAAATACTACATATGATTATGTGGAAAATCATCTCATTGACTACTTCAAACCTCGCTATAAACATCCAGTATTGTCCGTGAGAATGTTTAAAGCCCTACCGAAGTTGTTAAGTCGGAGCCATACGTGTCGGAGATGTCGCTCTGCTCATCAGTGGCCCACGCCCCCACACTGAACTCTATAGCAGAGACAGGGAGACGTTGTTTGTGGTAATATCACAAGATATTGTGTTATCGCCATTTTTCTCAGTCGATGGATTGATGACAACATGTCATGTGCTATTATGGTAAACAACGTCTGCCCATTCTTTCTATAAAGCAGGGCTCAGTGTGGGACGTGCGACACTGATGAGGAGGGTGACACCGACGACAGATGCGTATGGATCTGAGATAACAACCCCGGTTAGACTTTGAACATCATCGCAGACTATATATATGAATGCTTCATATATACCTAAGAGATTTGAGTGGTGAGCAAAGACACGACCTCAGACGGGAGTCAAACCCGCATTTCATCTTGTCCGGTGACGCGTGCTCTACCACTACACCCCCGAGGCACATATGCGCCACCACTCATTCTTTAACATCCCTATGTTTGCTATCAGCCATCAACCTTTTAACAGGCTTGGTCGGTTCGACTCCGGTCTGAGGCCGTGTTTTGCTCACCACTCAAATCTCTTAGGTATACATGAGACATAATAACACTGCGAAAAATGCAGTAAATACTAGAGATTTCGAGTAATAGTTAGTGCAATGGCTGTCAGCTCAACTGGGTTTATAAAGCGAAATCTCATACCCGACCAAACCTGTTAAAAGGTAGGTGGCTGATAGCTAACATATAGATGATGAAGAATGAGTGGTGGCGCAAATGTGCGTCGGTGGTGTAGTGGTAGAAAACACGTCCACGGATAGGATAAAGCGCGGGTTCGATTCTCGACTGAGGTTATATTTTTGCTCACCACTCATTCTTTTAGGTATATATGAAACATGATCACACTGCGAAAAATGCAGTAAATACTAAAGATTTCGAGTATTAGTTAGTGCAGTGGCTGTCAGCTCAACTGGGTTTAAAAGCGAAATCTCATACCCGACCAAACCTGTTAAAAGGTAGGTGGCTGATTGCTAACATTGAGATGATGAAGAATGAGTGGTGGCGCAAATGTGCGTCGGTGGTTTAGTGGTAGAAAACACGTCTCCGGATAGGATAAAGCGCGGGTTCGATTCTCGACTGGGGTTATGTTTTTGCTCACCACTCATTCTCTTAGGTACATATGAAACATGATCATACTGCGAAAAATGCAGTAAATACCAGATTTTTAAGTACTTATATATGAATGTTTTCTTGGAGGTTTCCAAAAGCAGTAGAATGGTAAAATATTCACGGACTATCTTTTTCTTTTTAACTTGTGCGAGGTCAATATGTCTTCTTCGAATCGATGGCTGACCCTTCGCCGATCCTCAGAGCTGACCAACTACTTATATTAGCAAGATCACCGGGATATTGTGACAGACAGAACGTAGCACAAGACAACATGACGGTGAGCTTTCCCCTACAAGTATTGCGACGGCTTTGAGAGAGACGAATTCACCGGAATATAAGTCAGTGATTCTGAAAAAGACGTATCAACTTTGCACAAGCTTTCAGAAGAAGACAGCTCGTGATACAGAGATCATTGTTTTGTGCTATTAGTAGAAAAAGTCACAAACAGTTCCGCTGCCGTATAATGTTATACGACAGATAAGTATAAAGTGGGATTATGCTTTTCTTCCGCAGAGTTTCCTTATAAATTATATAGATTCATCTATTTGTGGTTTTTACTGCAAAGTCAATAGACTTGCATAGGCGTGCACGGGTGTATGAGTAATTCTAACATGGAAGATCTTTCTAACTTGTCGGAACGAATAACAAAGCAATGGCGACACAAAATTGTTTCCGTTTCCTAGAGAAGTCTTTGTTTTACATCCAGATTTTTCAGAATGTGCGTTTGAACTCGATGAATTGTCTTTCTCTGCAACAAATCGAGAAGCTCAAAATGAAAATCCAAGAAACCTGGGAGAAGGAATTGCTGGTCAACGAAACAAAACGAGAGGTAGCAGTTTCACCACATATCAATCGCAACACCAGCAGTTCTTATTCGATAGGTGTCCATTCCCAGTCGATCCTCTACCTCTTACGCTGTGGTATGACCACTGACCGACCAGCAGTAACTCACAAAATCCGGCGCCGATTGATTCCATTCACACGTGTTTACAAACTGCTCCACCGCTCTACATTTATCGAGCACATCTCAACTCTGGATGAATTTTCTTCTTTGAATAAAAAAGCATAGGATTAGACAGAATTTTGCCCATAAGACACTAGTTTCTGTTCTCTGCCATCCTCGGATTTTGATTTTTTTGAGCCTACAAATCATGTCTTCGATTCTCTAGACAAAATTTGAATATTAAGAAAAAGAAGCGCTCAGTATAACAGATAAGTGGAAATGGTGTCTCATAAATTATCATTGGTATTTGCGACCGTCGATCTTGCACTGATAATTGTAAAAACTTGACTCAAAGCAGTTAGGAGTAAAATAAAGTGCTTCGAACCGTATTTGCTCCAAAGCCGTAGAGCTGAGTTTCTACTGTGGAACAACAACATTTTATACCCCCCTCAAGAATTCTAATCACGGAAAATTAGCAGAAGTTGAGATACTAGCCTTGGATTGTTGCACCATAATTCTTAGTGACATTTCCATACATTTCCATCATCCAGGTTATAAAAGATTACACGAGTTATGACAGAAATCTGAATAGAAACATAGGACAGAAAATTTTCCGGAAGAAAACTGTATTCTCAGCGAGCCTATACGAAGCCCTTTTGATGCTGACCGACAGCTTCGTAGCGCGACACACTGCGTGGGTGGACTCCAGTAAAGAAACGAATTTCATCTACACCCTTCCACCCGCGACAATGTTAGTTGGTCGATTTCTACTATGTTTCGAGATTTACGAATTTCACAGGCTCATAGAAGAAAATTATGACAATCAGAATAAATATGATTTTTAAAGATGATAAATGATGATGAATGAGAAATTGAAATGATAAATGATGACATGATAAATGATAAATGATGATAAATCTCTAACTTTCAAAAATGTTATTCGAAAAAACAAAAGGAAAACTCATACTACTTACCTTTTTTTTGACGTGAAGGGTACACGAGAGCATCAACGTGGCAATCTCAGACGTCATCATGCCGTGTTATACGCCTCTGAACGACAAAAACAAAAAATGAAGCAAGCGATGTTGAAACAGTCCCACTTTCGTCAGTGTTGAAACTTGTTTCTTCTGAGAAAGCCTTGATAATTTCAACGCTTTTTATCTCAATAAGAAAAGTTCTTTATAAAAGGTGTTATACTGGTTCAAAGTTGAGAGGCCCAACTATTTACCGGGTAAGGAGGCCTCAAAGTCAACGCATGTGTTAAACAACATTCATCATCGTGTGAACAGGAAGATTCTCGTTTTTTCTAGGTGGAGAAACTGCGAGACGAACTTCAAGGTCAATTAATTGTACAGGAAGCGGTTTTGAAGGCAAAAGAGGATGTTAAAAATGAGGAAACCGTTTCCAAGCTTGAGAGAAAACTGCAGACAGTCTACAGTAGCCTTCAACTGCAAACAGTGGAAGCTGATCGCTTGAAGAATTCGGTAAGTAGTTGAACTAGTTTGAGCCATCAACAAACGTATGATGTTTTCAAAGCAGTCAAAAATTTATTGATAAGTTAGCACTTGGAAATTAAACACTTCACCATCTTCTAGAAGAGACTTCGCTTTGTTGCTTTTGCTTCAACTTTCACACGCTATTTTTCTATAATCTTCTAAAAAGGGTGCCGCAGTCGGCAATATCAATAACGTGACCACATAATGAGTGAAATTCAACGATCTCTCTGCTCGCGACACGAGGCTCCACGGATAAACCGTCTCTCGTGGGTTCTAGCATGCCTAGCGCTCATATTAAGTCTTCTCATAAGTTTTGGCATCAAGGCAATCAACACTAAATCTAATAACAAAAAGTGATTAAAATTGTTCAACAACACTATTAAAGTATGTGCCATCAACCTGAACACATCTCTGCCATCTCTCAAGCGTAGGAATCAATACCGCACTCATGGAACTTGTCATTCTTGGACTCAAAGGAAGTTGTCAATCATTGACCCAAACGAGTAATGTTTCGCAGCTTCTTCTTGCTCAGGAAGTGCTCCAGCGACCGGAAGAGATAATTAGGCGGCGACAAGTCGGAACTATACGGCTGACGATCCAGGAACTCCCACCCCAGTCCAGTCAAATTTCCTTTTGTCAGTTTGGCGACATGCAGCCTTGCGTTGTCTTGAACTAGGATGAGATTGCCGATGTTTGTCGATGTGACAGGGCCCAATTGCAGCGGTCCAGGTGCTCGTAGTAGCGCTTGGGGTTGATCGTCTGTTGTTAACATTGTGTTATGTTGTTGCAGTGTAACTGTTCTTAGTGTTATTATTAGTGTTTTAAAGCAAATCTGAGAACTTCTGGTTAGTTGGTATGGTGTTTTTGCTGTAATGCCCAACCTTATGAGAAGACTTAATGAGAAGATGGAACGTCTGATTTCATGTTATGTTGGTAATAATCGTCAGATTCTAATGGATCTTATTCCACTTGAAATAAATTACGTGGGCTGAATTACAAGCGGAAAAGACGTTTAGAGCTGATCAGTCACTCTGACCTTGTTGTCATGTATCCGTAGCTATTCCTAACAGGTCAGAGGTAATTGAATGAATTTCTGGCCTGGACGATGACTTCCTAATGCATTGACCGATGACCTACTAATGTATTATGTCAGTGTGGATAATCGCTGGGCCTCATACTAATTTCGCATCCTAGTGGGAATGGGGAAGAATTTATGTCCGGAGTGTGCGATCCAATCAGCTTCTTATACATTCATGGCTCCTCTATACACCGAACTACACAAGCCCCCATGATCCGAGCTATATGTGTGTCTCAAATTTTAAGGCTAATTGTTAGCATAGCTAGGTCTTATACGGTCGTCATGCGATTCTGTTTGAAGTTCAAGAAGTTCAAGTGCTGGAAAAACGAGTAGAAATTGGTACAGAAATATTTTTAATTAGCAAGTTATACTAGTTTGAGATTGTTCTCAACTATGTCTTCAATTTGAAATTGGCAGCAGCCTATGCTTTAATCTCATATTTACTTGATGAACTTTCTGACGAACTGCTCAGTGTTATTCCAAATAGCTTACCAAAGTCCCTTTGTTGAAACGCGTCTAACAAGACTTGAAAATTTTCCTGGATAGAAATTCCGTTCGAATGGTTTGCAGTGACCGTTGAATTGCACGCTTGGATGACTGTGACGTGTAAAAAGCTATTCCTATCTCAGCCAAACCCTAATCATTCCAGGTGACTATGAAAGATCGACAAATGTTCACACTAAACGAGGAACTTGACGAACTGCGGAAAGAAAACGAACATCTGATGACCACTATAGCGAATCTCAACTTCTTGAAAACAACCAGCAAGGTCGACGAGGATTTGAAGAAACTTGACGAAACGGTGGATCACGTTGTACTCCCTCAAGGACCATCGGTAGTGAGCGGGCTTTCTAGTTCACGAGAAGACTCGGAAGGTATGCTGGCGTTTAGAGTAACATTTCTAGAGTTTTGGGAAACTTAGAGCAATCGTCTTAGAGTCATCCAACGATAGCGATAGAGCTGTAGTTAAGACTATCTTACAAGATAATTCGAAGGAATTCGAGAAGCGTTTGGCGAAAATGAAGGAGGCGGCCGATATTTGCATTCAAAGCTACAAGGTATGTCTTCTATCAGGAAAAGGACGAATCGAGTGCTTGTAAAACATAAAAAATCATTTCACTCGACCCATCTTCTTTCTTTTTGGTATAGGCTTAGATGAATATGCTTACAGAAACAACTGCTACAAAAAGACGAGGCATTAAAAGAATATCAAAGATTTGCTGCGGAAAAGCTCTCGACTAGTTCTCGGCCCATCGTAGAGAAGGAGATTATCCGTGAGGAAGTGCGCGTAGCTGACGAACAAACGGAAGCACAGCTTCGGCAAGCCTTTGGTGAGGTAGCTCGTCTCAAGGTATGCTGCAATACCTTTAGTAAACTAATTATTGTTCTTTACCCTTCAATTCTTTTCTTTCTATATTTCTTTTTTGTTATATTATGTATAATCTTAAATTCTTATTT